CCCCAAAACCCCAAAACCCCAAAACCCCAAAACCCCTCAGGTAAAATTATAATTGAATTAATAATAACCCCCCAAGATGCGGTCAATTCTCAAAAAACCAAAAGAGAGCTCGTTCCAAAAAGTCTCTGAATCCTGAACCTCCCCTAAAATTCCCTGTTCCACTTCCTTAAGACCTGCCTCTTCCTCCTCTCCTTCCAAAAAGTCTAAATGGCTGGTAGTCCTAAAGGTAAATTCTTACAAACAAATTGGGCTAAATTTAGGCAAGAGTCTGGGATAAGTCCTTGATAGGGTTTCTTAAGGGTTTTATAGGTGATCTGATGCGGTCACAGTGGAGTAAGGACAGAGAATAGTACGTTTACCAGAAGGCCAAAGTCGAGACTAAAGTAAGTCCATTAAGGCTTTTCCAACTTGTTGAACCATTACTTCCAGTGGGCATGAATAGTCTAGAATGCCATAAACCAGCTAGCTTGAATAGGGGAAGTTTAGAGGCTGAGAATTGAAGCTTAGTGGGGAGGAAGCAAGAGACATAGTGGTATTGGCATTCAAATAAAATATTATTTACCAACTCCAAACACTTTAACAGAAACAATTTATATAACTCCACTAACTCCTAAAGCAAGCCAATACCACAATAAATCCAAGCTTGCCCTTCTAAACACCAAAACCCTCTTAGTATCATTGCCCAAGAGATGGTCTCAAATTCACTTGATCTGTTTTAACAATATAACTAACTTATTTTAGCTTGCCATAAACTGATGACAATAATTCTATTATCTTAATTTATAGTGTTTAGTTCACTCTCAGCCATTGGGCTAAACCGAAAAATCTGATTTAGATGCTATCAGATTATTTGAAGCAAAGCACCAAATTATGAACTTAAAATATTGAGATTCGCTTAGTTTAACAACTCTGGTACAACCTGGTAGAAGATACTGTGTTTCTTCAAAAAATACTCCGATTTATTTTTATCAAGTCAGTGCCGGATTGTTGTACCTGTTATGGTGCTTAATCCTACCAATAAAGGCCAAACCAGTGCTTGTAATAACATTAAAAGTGCAATAGATTTCGTAAATTTTATATGGAAAGATTACTACTAAATCCAAAAATTTATAAAATGAAAGAGATGAACAAATTCATATTCCCATTTAGCCTTCCAACAGTCCAGCAAGAAGACACTGATTTTAAAATATTAGGTAAGAGAAGTGTCCGAAATTGTAGAGAAGAATGAAAATTTGAAGCCTCTGCCATCTAAAGTGTACTCCAAGGTATGAGCCCGAACAAAATAAGCAGCTTGGGAAAAATACTTTCCATACCATTGGAGGTTTTCTAAGTAAGAGATAAAACCTCAAGGGCGAGGAGATAATTTCTAGGTGAGCGTCAGAAGAATATGAAACAAAAAGGAATCAGAAGGCACTTATCCCAAAATGATAAAAGGTTAGTATTTCGTGACAACGTTCAGTGAATTCATCTACTCTTCATCATTTACTGTACATGGAACTGAAAGACTTGAGGTATACTCTTCAATTAATTATAGATGGTCGAAGAAACTCCTTGGGAAAACTCCATCTCTAAATATTCAGCTTCTAAAAAATCCTGCAAGAAATCGAAAAAGTAAGTTTATTTCCTTATTTCTAGGAATTGCAAAAGTATGAAATACAATCGGTCATCAAGAGACTTTAGCTCTGATAGAAACTGGGATATTCTATCTAACTCTATTGGTTTTAAATCTGACTGGGAGAGATAGCCCAATTCAACTTCTTTGCAGTTTCCATTATATAAATCTCTTCTATTTATAATCCACTTCCTGGGGTTTTGGGGTTTTGGGGTTTTGGGGTTTTGGGG